TGAGGAAACCAAATCTCAGAGATGGGCTTGGTTACTTAAGGTGACATTCACAGCAGTTGACAGAACCAGTACTCAAATCCAGTCCTGTCTTACCAAAGCTTTAGCAGTTTTTATGTTGGTTGGACATTAGAATCACCTGGGGAGATTTTTTAAATAGCCACTATCTGGTCTCCACCTACCTTACAACACCTGAATCATCACCCATTGAGGGTGGGGATTCAGCATGTATTATTTTAAGCAAACATTTTGATAAGTTGTAGCAGACATACAGAAAAGTGCACAATGATATGTGGCACAGCATATTGTCACAAAGTGAACACACACCCATGTATGTAGCGCACAGTTGAAGAAACAACATCATCAGCACCAAAAGCAAGCTGGGGGACTCTTGTGCCCTTTTCCACTTACTACCACCCCATTCTCCCCAAGGATAATCATTATCCTGACTTTAAACAGCAGAGATTATGATGATGATGATGATGATTATTTTTGAGACGGAGTCTCACTCTGTTACCCAGGCTGGGGTATAGTGGCCCGATCCTGGCTCACTGCAACCTCTGCTTCTTGGGTTCAAGTGATTCTCCTGCCTCAGTCTTCCAATAGCTGGGATTACACCATGATGCCTTGTTAATTTTTTTGCTGTATTTTTAGTAGAGATGGGCTCTTGTCATGTTGGCCAGGCTGGTCTTAAACCCCCGACCTCAAGTGATCCGCCCACCTCAGCCTCCCAAAGTTCTGGGATTACAGGTGTGAGCGACAAGGGTCTCAGAGCCCAAGAATGAGCAGAAGCTGTTCCTCCTGGGCCAGAGGTACTGCTCTCTCCTCACCATTTCTAGGAAATGATACCCGCAAGTAGCTGAATGACGGGTCAAAGGATTTCAGAATTGTCGAATCATACTCCTTAAAGTTATTCCTTTATCCTTGTCCTACTTGAGACTACCAATGGGTGGGGCCAAAGGGGTGGCCAAAATATCGACGACAATGATTAAAGAGTTGAAAGTAGAAAAAAAAGCAACAGAGCTTTACTTTGCCTGTTTTTGAACTTTATATAAATGAAGTCATACGATCCGCATGCTTCCGTGTCTAGCTTCATGTATTTATGGAATTCATCAGTATTGTGGAGTATATTAGGGATTTGTTCCTTCTTGTTGCTGTAGAACATTTCATTATGTGATGTTATATTATATGAATCTGTTATGATTCATTTAGCCAGTCTGCTGTTGATGGACATCTTTCCCATTCTTGACTATTATAAATTATGCTTCTACTAACATTCTTGTATCAATCTTTTGGTTATCAAAAGTGTTTTCTTTTCTGTTGAGTATCTCTCTAGGATTGGAATCGCTGGGTCACAAGCTATAAAAGTATGTTCAGCACTAGTGAATCCAGGAGTGTGTTCTTTTAAAAGTTCCCAGGTAATTCTAATGCACAGTGAGGGTTGAAAAAATCGGGCATAAGCCTGTACCACTGCCTTTATTTAGAATTTAACTGGCGTTGCTTTCTGGAACAACATAATAAAGTCATACTAAAGTTCTAGATAGAACATTTTATCATCTTACTAAAGAGAGGCCCTTCTGCTCACTCTAATCCTAAATCTCGTTTCCCTGAACCAGCGCTTCCTAACTTTTTAATGTCTAAGCCACAAAGGCTGGCTAGTCCTGGAAGAGAAAAGGGACTGGAAGCTTGTGCCTTTTATTCTTGGAAAAAAGAAGATTTGTGCCATTGCAAAGGAGAGTATAAATCTAATAGTATCATTTTGGCACAAAAATCTTACAGTCATTGAAGACCCACGAAAGGAACCAATCGTGTTAGGAGAGATAATAAACACACAAAGTGCTTAATACAGAGGCTGGCACTCAGTAAATGGTGTTGTATTTATGATTATGATTATTGCTATTATCAGTAGCAGCCACAGAAGTGAAGATATGCCAGAGCTGTGGTTTCTTCATGAAGCAGACCTGCTCAGTCATTTCTGAATACTCACACGAATGCCAGAATCTGCATATGGCACAATGAATTCAGGGAGGAACCAACCAAGCTGTCTTGAAGGTGCTCACTGCCTACCATTGTCTAGAAGGAGAGAGTCAACTCCAACTTGATTTCACTCTACTTCTTGCCTTGAACTGCATCTCAGCTTGCTCTGTCCATGAGTGCCCTATATGGTAGAGAAGACATGCTTAAAATGGTAGATGATTCAGAGGAAGTTTATCCCCGCTGATCCTGGAACATGGAAAAATGAATACCTGCTAAGCATGGGCCATGAGTTTTATTTCATGCCTGAAGGAATCTGCATACGTAGATATCCTCCCCTAGAAACTGCCTGCTTTCATTAGGGTGCTTCTAGTCTTAAATAAAAGAATAACTCAACTTGGTTAAGGAAGACAAGGGTAGAAGATATTTTGGTTGAACGTTTTCGAGAGCTCAGGAGTGCAGGGGAAACTGCATCACTAAGCCTCTGACGGGGAAGTGGGCAGCTCTGGGAGTGAATGGGTCCACCTGTTTTGGTCCGTTGATCTCTGTGTTTGCTTTTGGCTCTGACCATCTATCTTTTTGTCTCTTTCCACCTCTCTCACATTCTCTGTATGTCATGGGTCCTCTTCATCTGTCGATGCTGTTGCTCCTTTCTCCCCTCTCTTTTCCAGATTTCTCTCTTTACTCACAGTCTCTACCTTGGAACTTCAGCTCCCACAGGCCTTTGGCTTGCCATGTCCTTAAATCTATCTCAATTTAGTCTGAGGGTTTCTGGAATTCTAGTGCCCCTATATATTTGCAATTTTCTTCTGATACTCTTTGTTCAAACTTCCCAGAGCATCTTATTCGCTCAATTAATTGTTTAGTGATAGCCACTTAAATCACAGATTGAATCACTGGCATACGGGAGGGTATCCTCTGTGTTAGAGGCCTAACTCCAGCACAATCTGCTGTAGCTAGAAGAGGGTTTCTTCATCTGATATACAAACTGTTCAGCTGTAAGATGGGCAATGTGTTTAAAGATGATGACTGCAATAGGCAATGAAACACAACTTAAAAACCTGTTAACCTTCAGAGTCTTAACATTTAAAACTCGCTCTGCCAGGGGCCCCTAAAAGCCAGAAATTTTGTTTTAGACCTCTTTGAATATCCAGCAATTTGCTCATTAGGCTCAATAAAATTTTTGAAATGAATTAGTTTACTTCTCTGTACTCTGCTTCTTGGATAAGTGCTGCTTCTCTTCATGTCTCAAGACGTGGGTTTTGTTCTTTCACCTATTCATTCAACAGATATTTACTGAGCATCTACTTTGTACAGCACACTATTTTATACACTTGAGATTTAACAATGGATAAAGTAGGCTAAAACTCTGCCTTTGTGGAGCATATTAGTAACTACTAAGAAAAATGATAAAGTAAGGTAATGGGATAGTGATGAGGAGAATTATTTATTTATTTATTTTCAACTTTATTGAGGTATAATTGACAAAAATTATATACATTTAAGGCAGGCAATGTGTCTTTTCCCAGCTACTTTATACAAACAAGAAAATTATATATGTTCAAGGCGTACAATATGATAGTTTGACATACATATGTAATATGTACTAATTACCACAATTAAATTGATTAACACATCTTCCCTACATGTAATTTTCATTGTGTGTGGGTATGTGGTGGGGGAAGAGGGTGAAGGACACCTAAGATCTGTTCTCTTAGCATATTTCAAATAAACAATACAGTATTAACTGGAGTCACCATGCTGTACATTAGATACCCAGAACTTACTCATGTTATAAGTGAAAAAGTTTGTAACCTGTGACCAACGTCTCCCCATTTTTCTCACCCCCATTCCCTGACAACCACCGTTCTATTCTCTGCTTCTATGAGTGTAACTTTTTTAGAATCCACATATACATGAGATCATATAGTATTTGTCTTTCTGTGTCTGCCTTTATTTCACTTTGCATAATGTCCCAGGTTCATCCATGTTGTCACAAACAGCAGGATTTTCTTCTTTTTTAAGGTTGAATAATATTTCATTTTATGTATATACCACACTTTACCTACTTGTTTGTCAATGGACAGTAAGGTTGATTCCTTATCTTGGCTTTTGTGAATAGTGAAGCAATGAACATGGGCTTGTTGGCTCCAGCCTCTCTCAGTTGTGTTCTAAGGGCAGTTCTGCCTGCTCAGGGACCCTTGGAGGATACGCTCTTCCATGCCTCTAGCGGCAGGCCCACTGAACCAACCTCTATTCCACTGTGGGTCTTGACAGTGCCCTCTTCATCCTTTCCCATATACATTATATGTATAGATACAAACACACACACACACACACATTCACATTGTGAAATGATTACTACAGTCAAGCTAATTAGCATATTCATTACCTTACATAGTTACATTTGTGTGTATGTGTGTGTGTGTATTTAACATCTACTCTTTTAGCAAATTTCAAGTATGCAACACAGTCTTTTCAACTATAGTCACCATGATGTAAATTGGATCTCCAGAACTTGTTCTTGCTGTATAGCTGAAACTTTCTACCCTTTGAAAAACAGAGGGAGACTATTTTAGATAAGATGGTGTGAAAAGCCTAGTTTGAAGAAATAACATTAAGTAATTAACTGAATAAAAGTGGAGAACAAGGCTTGGTCAAATCGAAGGAGAGAGCTTTTCATTCAGAAGGAACAAGCAGTAAGCACGATGAGCTACCACATACAGGTCCGTAAGACAGCAAGATGTGTGATAGCCGGGCTCTGACAGGACCCCCAGTGGTCCTTGCTTCAGGGTGTGTGTTCCCTCGTATAGTCTCTTTCCATCCATCTTGACACAGAGTTAGTCTGTGCCAGAGCATGGCAGAGGTGACAGCGTAACTTCCTCTAATAGGTGAGAAGAGGCATTGGTGATTCTGCCTAGGTCTCTTAGATCACTCACTTTGGGAGTAGTCAGTGCTATGCATGAGAACACACAGGAGTCCTGAAGAGGGGTCCTTATGGGAGAATAACTGAGGCCTTTTTCCAACAGCTTGCATCAACTTGCTGATCATGTGAGTGAGGCACCCTACGAGTGGATATGCCACCTCCCATCAAGTCTTCAGATGAAAGCAGCCTTAGTGGACAACTTGACTGCAACCTCATGAAAGATTTTGAATTCGAACAGTTCAGCTAAGCTGCTTCCAAACTTCTCACCCACAGAAACCGTGAGAGATTCTAAATATTTACTGTTTTGGTCACTAAGTTTTCCAATAATTTGTTATGTAGCAATGGATGGTAACTACAGGCAGGCGGTGAGTCTAGAACAAAGTGAGCTTTGGAGGAATGCTGAGAATTAGGTTAGAGAGGGAGCACATGTTAATATCATATACGGCTTTGTAGTTTATGATAAGGAATTTGAATTTATTCTGAATCTGATGGAAAATCATTGAAGGATTTTGCTCACAGAGGCAGCATTATGTTTTTAAAATATCATCTAGACCACTGAATAGACAACCAAACATGGGCACAAGAGCACAGGCAGGGAGACCTATTAGGTATCTATGTGGTTTATCCATGTAAAATGTGGTAGTAGCATGGACTTTTCAGGCTCTGTTTGAATGGTTCAATCAATGGAATTTTCTGATAGATTGGGTGTGAGATTTGAGAAAGTAAAAAGTCAAGGTGAATTCAAGTTTTTTTTTTTTTTTTTTTAATATCAGAAACTGGGAGGAAAAGATGTCTTTTGTGGAGGTGTGGGTCAACAGTGGTGTTGACCACTGGTGGTAGTAGGGGCAGATTTGAAGGTTAGAGAATGCCGTATTTAGAGATCAGTAAGAGGAAGAGGAGCCATCCATGAAGACTGAGAAGGAATATCCAGGGAGGTAGGAAGAAAATCAGGAGAGTGCACAGATCTAGGAGCCATGGTAAGAAAGGGCTTAAAGAAGGAGGAGTAAATAACTAGATGAGAGTGTTTTAGTAAGATGAGCTATGAAAACTAAGCCCTGAATTTGGCATAGTGAGGATTGTTGCTAAACTTAGGAACAACAAACCATCTTGCAGATACACTTATAAATTCATTAACCACAAAGCATATTTTGCTAGGTCTTCTTTTCTATGCTATACGAAAACAAATGCAGCCTCAACTATTTGTCCCTCATCTGTCAAGTTTACATAGTGATCTTCATTTTGTGAATCTCCTTCATATCAACTGATTTATCAATGGCACCTGAATCTTCACCCTTGGAGAACTGTAGTTACTAAAAACCTGTCTTGCATTGAAAGTTAAGAATCTAAGTGTCAATTTTTGCTTTTGTTGCAATGCTTTTGGGGTCTTGATGATGAAATATTTGCCTGTTCCTATGTTCAAAATGGGTATTGCCTAGGTTGTCTTCCAGGGTTTTTATTGTTTTTGGTTTTACCCTTAAGTCTTTAATATCTTGATTTTTTTTGTTGCTGTTTTTGTTTTTGTTTGTTTGTTTTGCTTATAGAGGCAGCATTAGGTTTTAAAAATATCATGCAGACTACTGAATAGATAACCAAACATGGGCACAAGAGTGCAGGCAGGGAGAATACACTGGTGTAAGAAAGGGGTAGAGTTTCATTCTTCTGCATGTGGCTAGCCAGTTATTTCAGCACCATTCATTGACTAGGGAGTCTTTTCCTCATTGCTTGTTTTTGTCACCTTTGTTGAATATCAGATTGTTGTAGGTATGTGGCCTTATTTCTAGAATCTGTTCTGTTTTATTGGTCTATATGTCTGTTTTTGTACCAACACTATGCTGTTTTGGTTACTGTAGCCCTGTAATATAGTTTGAAGTTGGGTAATGTGATGCCTCCAGCTTTGTTCTTTTTGCTAAGATTGCCTTGTCTGTTGGACTTTTATTTGGTTCCACATGAATTTTAAAATAGTTTTCTCTAGTTCTAGCTTCTAGTTTCTAGAATCTCAGCAGTAGTTTAATAGGAATAGCATTGAATATATAAATTGTTTTGGGCAGTATGGTCATTTTAATGATACTGGTTCTTCCTGTCCAAGAGCATGGACTATATTTTCATTTGTTTGTGTCATCTCTGATTTCTTTGAGCACTGTTTTGTAATTCTCCTTGTAGAGGTCTTTAATTTCTCTGGATAGCTGTATTCCTAGGTATTTTATTCTTTTTGGACAGTTGTGAATGGGATTGCATTCCTGATTTGGCCCTTGGTTTGACTGTTGTTGTATAGAAATGCTAGTAATTTTCGTACGTTGATTTTGTATCCTGAGACTTCACTGAAGTTGTTTATCATTAACAAATGGAATCAAATTAGACTAAAGAGCTTCTGCACAGCAAAAGAAACTATCAATAGAGTAAACAGACAAGCTACAGAATGGAAGAAAATTTTTGCAAACAGTGTGTCTGACAAAGTTCTAGTATCCAGCATCTATAAGAACTTCAACAAATTTACAAGAAAAAAATCCCAAAAAGCCTGTTAAAAAATGGTCAAAGGAGATGAACTGACACTTCTCAAAAGAAGACATACATGCAGCCAACAAGCAGATGAACAAAAGCTCAACATTACTGATCATTAGAAAAATGCAAATCAAAACCACAATGTGATACCATCTCACACCAGTCAGAATGGCTATTATTAAAAAATTAAAAAATAACAGATGCTTGCAAGTTTTTGGAGAAAAAGGAAAGAACTTATAAACTGCTGCTGGGAGTGTAAATCAGCTCAACCATTGTGGAAGGCAGTGTAGCAGTTCCTAAGGAGCTAAAAACAGACCTATGATTTGACCCAGCAAGAACTACTATTCAAATACCCAAAGTAATATAAATTATTCTATAATAAAGACACATGCATGCATATGTTCACTGCAGCACAATTCACAATAGCAAAAACATGGAATCAACCTCAATGTTCTTCAATGATAGACTGGATAAAAAATGTGATACATTTTTGTACGATGAAATAATATGCAGCCATTAAAAAAATAAGATCATGTTATTTCCAGGAACATGGATGGAGGTAGAAACCATGATTCTTAGCAAACTAACACAAGAACTAACACAAGAGGGGAACAACACTCACTGGGGCCAACAAAAGGATGGAAGGTGGGAGGAGGGAGAGGATCAGGAAAATTAACTAATGAGCACTAGGCTTAATACCTGAGTGTCAAAATAATCTGTACAATAAACCCCAATGACATGGGTTTACCTATATTATAAACCTGCACATGTACCTTTGAACTTAAAGGTTAAGGCCAGGCACAGTGGCTCACACCTGTAATCCCAGCACTTTGGGAGGCTGAGGCAGGCGGATGACGAGGTCAAGAGATTGAGGCCGTGGTGCAACCCCATCTCTACTAAAAAATACAGAAATTAGCTGGGTGTGTTGGCCTGTGGTCCTAGCTACTCGGGAGGCTGAGGCAGGAGAATTGCTTGAATCTGGGAGGCGTAAGTTGCAGTGAGCTGAGATCACACCACTGCACTCTAGCCTGGTGCCTGGAGACAGAGCAAGACTCTGTCTCACAATAAATAAATAAATAAATAAATAAATAATAAAAGTTTAAATAAATAGAAATCTTAATGCCTATTGGAAAGAAGAAGAGCTAAATATGAGATGGCCAGGTGGAGCAGGGAGCAGGCATCAGGTAATAAACTCCTGGTTTAATCCTCTGGGCCTGATGGAATCATTGAAAGTTGTCCTCTAGGTATTTGGCATTTTCGCTTTGTACTTTATCAGTCCACTCGTCGATGGAGAGTTGTAAAGGTAGGAAGGAGATACTAACTGCATTTAGGAAACTATTGTGACAAAGCAGGATTTGGGTCATAGAGTCTTTAGGGATAAAGAAATGTTTTTGCTAGGTTTCAGGGACCTATAAAAAGTGTAGGAAGTGGAATGGGGGTGGTGTCATCAGAAGATCTGTATGATTAAGTAGAGAATTATAGATCGAAGAAATTCCCTTTCTTCCATACTAGAAAATTTGAAAGACAGGCATATTGTAAATTCCTTACCTCAGTTTCTCTGCCTGAAGACACATATTGCCTCAACTCCCGATGTTTACATCACAAGCTTCTATGAAAGAGATCAAAGGAGCCCCTCCCTCTCACATCTGCAAACAGCCATCCACTCCCAGAGGAAGTGACTATTTATGCAGGTGAGCAAAGCAAATCTGAGAAGGAAGTGAAGTATATTTCCTCTCTGCAAGTCTACAGCTTTTTCCTCTCTTGTTTGGAACTTAGAAATAAGATTATGTACATAAGGCGCTGGTAGGTAGCAGGTGCTCAGCTAAAACCACTCATCATTATTGGTGTTGTTTGCCTTACATTCTGGGTATTGGTTCCCTTCCTACTGGACTTATCTCCCTACCAGATGAGAGCATCTTGAGAGAAGGAGTGCGTTTTATTCACCATATAATCCCAAAGCCTAGTGCAATCTTACATAGTAAGTACATGGCTTAACGCTGAATTTAAATTTAAACTCAGTGTTTGTCTCTGTGGCTGTACAGTTTTTGTACCTCCCCACAAAGCCGCCTAACTTTAATTAATTTTTATTTCTTAGGGGATGCTAAGGCAATGTGGTCATTCATTCATTAATTTAATTGCTATTAGCTGGTCATGCTAGATATTGCACCCAAGTGAGAAAGATAGACATGGTCCTTGCTCTCTCAAAGCTTTCAATCTAATGTCATAGCTCCTCCACCAGATTTACCATGGGAACTTTAAAAAATATTACTCCCAGGACCACATTTCTATCCTATTGATTAATAAGTATTCATAATGGGGACTGGGGAGTAGCAAGTACTCCTGTGTGATTCTGGGATTGCCCCTTCGGATGAATCACAGAGTTATGTCAGAGGGAATGACATATGTATTATTCCTAATTCTACAGCTTACTTTGGGACCTGGGGGAAGTCTCTCAACCTACTTGACCCTCAGCTTGTTCATCTACAAAGTGAGAAATATGTCTTTCCTTTCTACCTCCAAGGGCTGATGTGAGGAGAATATGAGATAATCAATATTTGTGTACTTGGTATACTTTACATTTCTATATACAAATTATAAATCATTGTTATTAGGTATTAACCAGTATTTAGGACTTACTCATTTAAAAATACATTACTGGAGCACCTACCGTGCAAAAGTTAGAGTCCTTTATCTCTCTTGGACTCTGGATAGGGATTCACTAAATTGGCTGTAAAATTAGTGGCTGATGACATTTTAATGTAGTACCTCTCCTAGTAGATTTGCATTTAACATCTTGAAGAAAATCATGAAATAATATAATTAATAATAAGAATAGCCATCATTTTATGAAAATTTTACAATGTGCCAAGTGCTGGGCTAAGCGCATTACCTAGAGCTGCAAAGAACTTTTGGAACTGTTTACAAGAGGCCACAAATCAATGTTTATTTGATCATTTTTTTCCTAACCTTAATCGTATTTTAAAAGTAAGTGCAACTAAGAACAAGACAAATTTAATAGAAATAGAAAAATCGTAATCTTTATTGTCTCACAAAAAATTGACAGCAGACCCTACTGTCAGCTGCTTGAGCCTCTGACTTAGACTCAACCTTCCCATTTCACAGATTAAGAATCTGATGCTCAGAAAGGTGACATGGTTTACGGACACTCCTTGCATCTGTCTGAGTTCCCTGGCTTTTATATAAAATTGCCTCTTCCATTTAGCAGCCATCACATTCTCCAGTTCAGTCAATTAACCTGATGCCTCAGCCTTCCACTAAGTCGTCCACCACAGGCTGAGCAAAACCTCCTCCTTCATAGCATGACCTGCCCTGATCTCCAGCCCTTGGTGTCTCTCAGAAGGCTTCCTCAGGCTCTATGTCTTTCATGTGTTCTCTCCTCTGCCCCAGTGTACATCACAGAGAAATGTTCCGTTGAGCATAAACTCCCGCCATTTCCACTTATGATCACCCCCACCTCATTAGCCACTTGGTACCCTTTGTCTGGAAGACGGGTTTCTGGCAGGGCAATTTAAGCAGTCAGTTTAATTGGAAGATTAGGAAAGGCCTGGTGTCTCAGCAATCATTTGAGAATAGACTGAGCAATGGTCCATTTTAAAGCATATTCAGGCTTTCAATTTCTGCATATTTTTCACAGTTTCCAAACGCTTCTAAATTGTTGTGGTACCACTGGTTCCTTTGTGTGTACATGTCTGTGTCTGAGCATTACCTCTGCAGAGAGGCCTTCCTGACAGTCTTATTTTTTGTGAACCTCTGTTCCTTCCTGTGACTCTGCAATATGGTGATGGACTGACTACTGGCCTCAAGTCCTAACCTGTTTTTGTATCTATGTCCTTTGCCATGTCATCTGGCAGTTTCTCACTCT